TGGGACTACAGGCGCCTGCCACCTCGCCCGGCTAATTTTTTGTATTTTTTAGTAGAGACGGGGTTTCACCGTGTTAACCAGGATGGTCTCGATCTCCTGACGTCGTGATCCGCCCGTCTCGGCCTCCCAAAGTGCTGGGATTACAGGCTTGAGCCACCGCGCCTGGCCGAATTCTCTCTTAAGGAAGTATAGTGTATCCTTGTGAATGTGGGCCGAATTCTTTTTTTTTTTTTTTTTAAACATCCAGGATACATATTTGAATTACGTTTTAATCTTTTACTTATTTATTTATTTATTTATTTATTTTTTGAGATGGAGTCTCGCTGTGTCGGCTAGACTGGAGTGCAGAGGCAACCTCCGCCTCCCGGGTTCAAGCACTTCTGCCTCAGCCTCTAGAGTAGCTGGGATTACAGGCATCCGCCACCACTCCTGGCTAATTTTTGTATTTTTGGTAGAGATGGGGTTTCACCATGTTGGTCAGGCTGGTCTCGAACTCCTGACCTCAGGTGATCCACCCGCCTTGGCCTCCCAAAATGCTGGGGTTACAGACCGGAGCCACCACACCCGATTTTTATCTTTTTTTTAAACTGGGATCCAGGCAATTGTATGGAACTACATTTTTTAATTCATTGCCTCTCTTGTGTATATATTTCTCCCATTCTAGCTTGATCCACATACTCGTATTATTAAGAACTGGAGATTATCTAGACCAGTCCTTTTAATTTGCAGAGAAGGATGTTAAGCCTAGAAACTTAAGTTACTTGCCCATGGACATAATACTAATTTAGTGGTAGAACCAGTGTCAGAATTCTGACCTCCCACAGCTGCATCATGCAGCCTTGGAGTAACTGTCTGGGTTAACTCCCTTTTCTGTAAAATGGAGATAATAATACCATCTCCCGGCAAGGCACAGTGGCTCACGCCTGTAATCCCAGCACTTTGGGAGGCCGAGACGGGTGGATCACGAGGTCAGGAGATTGAGACTATCCTGGCTAACACAGTGAAATCCTGTCTTTACTAAAAATACAAAAAATTAGCTGGGTGTGGTGGCGGGCGCCTGTAGTCCCAGCTACTCGGGAGGCTGAGGCAGGAGAATGGCATGAACCCAGGAAGCGGAGCTTGCAGTGAGCCGAGATTGTGCCACTGCACTCCAGCCTGGGCGACAGAGCAACAATCCGTCTCAAAAATAATAATAATAATAATAATACCATTTCCCCTATAGGTTGCATGTAAGGATTAAATGAGACAATGCAGGTAGTTACTTTAATACTGTCTGTTGGCCCTTTAACCCCTTCACTACATCTTTCTTGAAATTCTCCACCCTTGGCTAATGTGTCACGAAGCTCTCTTAATTCTCCCTGTTATTCCTTATCTGTAACACTGGCTTCTTTTCCCCATCCTGCTCCACAATCATGGGCAATCCTCCAGGTTCCCCTCTCAGCCCTTGTTTCCTCTGAGCCCCTTCATTTCTGCTAACAACTTAATCGGTATTTGCAGATTCTCTTGCTCCTCTATCTTCAAGTCTGAGTGTCCCTGTGAACTTCAGACCAGCATTTCCAGTGGCCTCCTGGCCATATCTATCTGATTTCCCATTCCTCTCAAATCCAGCATACATAAAACCAAAGTCATTGCTTTTCTTCTAAACCAGTTATTTCTCTGGACTCTGGACTTCCCAATTTCTTGTTTCAAATTTTTAAAAAAA